GTGCAGGGACCTTTCTGGAATGCCCACACTCCTCTTAGGGGCTATTTGGGCATGTTTGGAGCCGCCCTCTCAGCATGGGACAGCGCTGACAGCGTCCAGGGCATGCCGACCCTTCCTCTGGGTCATGCCGAGGCCTGACTAACCAGCACCTCTTCCTGTTGTGCCTACAGCCATCGCGCTGAACCAGGTGGAGGACGTCCGGACTGTGCTGGAGCACTACGCCCTGGAGGATGACCCACTGGAGGCATTCAAACAACGGCAGAGCCGGCTTGAGCAGGTTAGGCTCCAGTCCCCACTGGTCACTTTTGAGGCTCCCAGAAGAGGTGGGTGTCCTGGACAGCTGCCTCTGTCTGCTGGATGTCGGCGTGAGTTTGAGCGCTGTCTTCCTTGGCCTCAGCCTCTGTCCGGGGCTCTCACACAGCCTGCCTCGCAGGGCTGTGCTAATGATTTGACAGCCTGGCCTAGGAGCAGGAGACAGGCAATAGTCAGCACGTGAGGTAAGTCCTCATGGCCTTGGGTGCTTTGGGGCCTTTCTTGGGGGGCTGTAGGTTTAGAGCTAGTCTACAGAGCTATGTGGATGCTTGGCTTCAGAGTCTGGGGGAAGAGTGTTTTATTGGTTTTGTTTTTGAGACAATATCTCCTATACAGTTCAGGCTGGCCTTAAACTCTGAATCCTCCTGACGCAGTCTTCTGAATGCTGGGTTTACAGGGGTTGTTTTCACTGGACTGGACAGGATTGACTTTTCAATTGTTTTTCACTGTGCTGGGGAGAGGAGAGTGCCTCTTGCATGCTAGTCCTGCACTCACCCCTGGGCTCAGAGGTGCTCTTGCCAGGGTCTGGGTCCTCCCATGTGGACTAGTGTTCTCTACTGGGCACACATCCAAAGGCAGGCAGGCTTCTGTGTCATGCTGACGCTGTCTTTTTCTGTCCCCCCACCCCAGGAGGAACAGCAGCGCCTGGCCGAGCTCTCCAAGTCCAGCAAGCAGAGCCTCTTCTTTGGCTCGCTCACCAGTCGCCTGTGGCCTCGCTCCAAGCAGCCCTGACTGCTAGGCCTCCTCAGACTTGGTGTCTGGGCCCCAGGCCCCAATCCTCACAGAGCAAGGCTTGGACGGCCACGTGTCCAATAAAGCGCACCCCAGATGCCACAATGCCTGTGTCCAGAGAGTCCAGATGGGGCGTGGGGTGAGGTCCGGGACTCGGTCATCGTCCCCAGTGACTGAGCACCACCAGGCACAGTGAGCGCCTTGTTGGATCGGGGCTCGTACCAGCCTGAGAAGCTGCCAGCCTGGGTCTCTGCTGCACCGTGTCTTCCCACTTACTGTATGAGCTGCAAAGAAAAGCATCTCTCTGGCTCTGGATTCCTTATGTGCTATGGAAATAAAGACAAGTGTGGCCTCTGGAGAGCCAAAACCAGCTCAAGCGCTGCTCGGCTTAGTGGCTCCTGGGAGGGTGGTCCTGGAGCTGTTTGATCATCCGTGTCTCATAGAAGCCAGAAATCAGGGTTACTTTTTTGTTTTTTAAGACAAGGTCTCACTGTGTAGACCTGGCTGGCGTTGATCTCAGAGATCAGCCAGCCTCTGCTTCCAAGTGCTGGGATTAAAGGTGTGCACCACTGTGCCCCCCTTTTTTCTTCTTTTGGAGACTGGTGGTTATTACATAGCTCAGGCTAGCCTGGAATTTCTAGGCTTAAGTAGTCGTCCCGAATAGCTGGGACTGGAGGCATGTGCCACTGTTCCCTGCTGGAAATCAGGATTTTAAAAAACAACAAAAACCCATTGGATTTCTCTAGTTTCATTATTATCTCAGTGGTACTAGGGATGGAACGTAAAGCCTGAGACATGCCAAGCAGGCATTCTACCAGTGAGCCCTGTCCCAATCCAGGTCGTGTGTGTGTGTGTGTGTGTGTGTGTGTGTGTGTGTGTGTGTGTGTGTGTGTGTGAAGGCAGAAGACAACTTGGGAATCGGTTGTACCATGTGGGTCTTGGAGGTGGAACTCCATCATTACTGAGTGGCAAGTTGTACCCTACTGAGCTGTTCTGGTTTTTGTTTTCTTTTGTGGGATTTTAGTGGGTTGAAGCAGAGTCATAAGTAGTTTTGGAGTGGCTATGGAGCAAAGGATGACCTTGAACTGCGGATCTCCCCCCCACCTCCTGAGTGCCAAGATGTATACCACCATGCACAGTTGATGTGTTTCTGGGGACCAGTCCACTCTACCCACTGAACCGCACCCCAGCCTCTTCATTTTAACAACCATGTGTGTCCACCAGCTTCTGCTTTGAACTAGCTATGTGGTGTTTAAGCATGTGAGTTCCAGTTCTGGGTTCAAATCCAAGGTCTTTCATTTCTTGGCTGGCTGTGGTTCTAGACAAGTTACTTAGCCTCTCTGGAGGTCAGTTTCTGCATCTACAACTGAATGGTTCTTTTTAAGATTTATTTTTGAGCTGGGCCGTGGTGGTGCACACCTTTAATCCCAGCTCTTGGGAAGCAGAGGCAGGCAAATCTCTGAGATCTAGGTCAGCTTGGTCTACAGAGTGAGTTCCAGGTCAGGGATACACAGAGAAACCATTTGGGGGAGAGGGGGATTTATTCTTGATTGTGTTTGTGTGTGAGTGCACACATGAGTCCAGGTGTCTGTGGAGACCAGAAGTGTGCATCCAGTCCCTTGGAGCTGAACTTCACAAGCAGTTATGAGCTGCCCACCATGGTGCTGGGAACTGAATTTGAGGTCACCTGGAAGAGCAGTGTGTGCTCTTGACTGCTGATTGATCTGTCTAGCCCCAATGATGGTTCTTTTATATCACATTTATGAGTGCTTTGTCAACACACCATGTACTCATGTCAACACACCATGTGCTCATGGAGGCCAGAAGGGGCCCTGGATTCCCCGAGGTGGTGAGCTGCCTTGTGAGTGCTGACTCTGGTGAGCAGCCAGTGTTCTTAGCCTCTCCAGCCCACCAATAATAGTTCCAACCAAATGGATAGGCCCTCATGTAGTGGCCACACAACCCTTAGGCAAGGCACCTCTGTCTCGGCTTCTGGTCTAAAGTAGGGTGAAGTGTCCATTTTGTTATCCAAGCTCTCTGTTCCAGCCGGCATCTAGTATTGGCCCAACTTAAATAATAATGATGCTTTCACGAATTTGAAGCCCTGGACCAGGTTGATTTTGCACTCTAGACTGTTTAAATGTCCTTGGTGGTGTCACAGGGGGAAGGGTCGGTGTAGTGCCATAGGGCTGTAATTTCAGCACTTAAGACTCAGACGTGGCAGAATTGACAAGTCGGAAGCAAGCCTGGTCATGTAGGGAGACTCAGAGAATTATAATTAACACCAAATTCCCAGCCTGGGGAACTGGGCAGTACAGAAGAGTGCCCCGTCATGTCCCGAAGATTCCCCTCCCTCTATTTTCCCAAAGACAGGGTTTCACTGTGTAACTTGCTGGCCTGGAGCTTGTTATGTAGACCAGGTTGGATACCACCTCACAGAGAACAGTTTGCCTTTTCCTCCAGGGTTCTGTGATTAAAAGTGTGTGCTGCCACATCTGGCTAAGATTCCCTATTTTCAGGAATGCTTGTTTTTGCATCTGGGGGCCCTGAGTTCGAGGCTGTGTCTAAAAAGGAGCAGTGGTGGGACAAAGCTTGTGTGAGAAACAGGGTCCTGGGTGGAATGGGTTGTGGATGGAGGGAACTGGCCAGTGTACTTCCCTGTTGGAGTGCGGTCTGGGGGACACACTTTGTCCACAGGATCCTCTGAGGAGGACATTGTGTTTGAGGCAGTCTTGCTATGTAGCTCAAACTGGTTTTGACCTTGAGTGATCTTCCTGCCTCAGCCATGTGCCAGACACCCTTTTAGAATGGACTTGACTTGAATCTGTTCCCTTCAGCATAAGGAAGAAGTGTGTTTGCTCTGTTACCCTGGAGACCAGGGCTCTGGTACCTTGGATGCCACCTGCTTCAGCATCCAGTGGGTCCATCAGATCTCTCCCTTTACCTTGGTGCTAACTGGACCGTTTCCTGTCCCCTCACACTGGGGGAGAGGATTGGGCGTAGGTGCAGAGGTCCTCAGACGATGCCCATAGGATGGGGCCTGGGAATTGAACCCCAAGTGCCTTATGCTCAAGGACTGCTTTGTTGTGGGAATCATTTGTGTCTAAGCAGGCCCCTTCCCCACACACCGTGGGATCTGAATTCCCAGGTCCCACCACTCAGAAGCCCTTGGTCAAGGCCTGAGCATCTTTCTCCTGGGAAGTCAGTTCAGCCTCCCTTGCACTTGTTTGCTTAAGCACTTGCTGGCACCAGCCGGTGGAGACACCACCGGAAGACAGCAGTGAGTAGATGATGGGAAGCACAGTCCCACTGTGCTGCTGTTCCCCGGGAAGATGCAGTGCAGGCAATTCTCGGGGGTCTAAAGCTAAAGATGAAAGGGGGGCAGAGTATGGAAGCTGGAGAGATGGCTCAGAGGTTAAGAGGGCTGGCTACTCTTCCAGAGGTCCTGAGTTCAATTCCCAGCACCCACATGGTGGCTCACAACTGTATAAGAGGATCTGATGCCCTCTTCTGGCATGTAGAGCACTTGTACATAAAATATAAGTAAAAAAAAAATTTTAAAGACAGGGTAAACACACAAGCCTGTAATTCTAGCTACTCAGGAAACTGAGGAAGGAGGATTGGAAGTTTCAGGCCAGCCTAGGTAACTTAGTGAGACCCTGTCTCAAAATCTGGAAGGGCTGGGAGCATAGATCTGTCACAGAGTGCTGGCCTGACAGGCGTGAGGAATGTAGACTCTAGCACAGAAGGAGAGAGTGAGAGACAGAACAGGTGAGAAGCAGTGTTTGGGGGCCTCAGAGATGTATTCATTAAATTATATTCATTATTTAATATAAATAATAATTTATATATCATTTAAGATATAAATTATATATTTAAAAGTAAATATATTTATATAAATTTAATAATTTATATACTGATAAGTAAATAATAACATTATTTCACGTATTTTTATTTGTATGAGGGTAGGGTGGGTGTGCACAAGCCACACCACCTATGTGGTCAGAGGACAGCATTTGGGGTCAGTTCTTCCTTCGTGTGGATCAGAGGATAAAACACAGGTCAAAGGCTGGGAGGCAGCGTCTCAGCAAGCGACCCAGCCAGCCAGAAGATGCTGCTTTAGACGGACTAATCTGGAAGGCCTCTGGGAAAGTGTGAGAGCTGAGCATGGAAGGAAGTGAGAGAGAACACTACAGGGATGGCCGAGTGTGCAGGCCGGGCCACCCCAGGTCACCCCTTTGCACTTGCTGCTCACCATGAGGTCTTCACCAGGGCCTTCTCGTGCTTCAGACCGTAGTGCAGACTTCGCCACCTCAGCATGGCCTCTGTTTCTGTGTATAAGGAGAAGTCCTAAACAGCCAAGAAGCCTTTCAGAAATCCCATAAAGTCTGCTTCCTGTGTGGCAGAGTTCTGGACACACTGTCTTGCCTTGTGGTTGAGTTTATAATGGATGCTGGGGACTGACTGAATCCACTGCTTGTGAGTGAGGCAAAGCCAGATGTGGGTTTTTGTGGTTGTATTGTTTTTGAGAGAGGCTTGATGTAGCCCGGGCTGGACTCTTTCTTCTGATTGTCCTGCCTCTGCATCTGCAGTCAGTGCTGGGATTAGAGGCCTGCCCACTACGTCTACTCACGGCTCTTTTCTACTGAATAATTACTGAGAAGGACTAGAGCTGCCCCTGAAATTATTAGCTAAGTATTAACTTATTATTTACTGTGTGGTGTGTGTGTGTGTGTGTGTGTGTGTGTGTGTGTGTGTGGTGTGTGTGTGTGTGATGGGCTTCCTCCATTTAAGCAGCTTTACTCAGTGCTTGACTCCAAGACACTATGACCAGAGACTGAGCATCTGCACCTAAGTAATTTTATTTGCCTGGATCCTGGAACACTAAGGGGCCCCTGCCTCCCCCACCCCCGGGAGGTGGCTATATTCATCTGGGGTGGATAGCGGGCCCCTGGTGCCTGAAGACTCATTTCCTGCCCATTTGCCCCTCACACCTTCCTGAGCCCAAACGGGAGGCCCAGCTGCGGCCCGGGGTGGGGTGGGGGG